GGTGGGGGGCACCCTGTGTGGCAGCTGAAAGACGGCATGCGACGGCGGCAATGGCGGCAATGGCGGCGACGATGACGGCGGCGAGCGAACGGCATTGGTGGCGTGGCGTTGCGGCGGCGTGCAGGCGCGATCAAGGGGCTGCGATCGAGCGATCCCTGGCGGTGGAAGGAGAACAACACTTCGCCAAGTCCGGAGACCCGACCGAGCTAAAGCCGACCCGACGACAAAAACCGCCACAGGGGGGGTGCTGGTAGGCTGTCCCACCCCGATATACTAACTGTGGCCCCAGTTAGGGAATATGGGTGATTAGCACCAAGAAATATGTAAGCCGCTCAGAGACCCCTACGAGGGTTCGAGTGGGGTATCAAGCTGAAGGTTAAATAAATAAATTAAAAATTAGAATTGGCTACATTAGGGGTGTGTGGCCTAACATGCAAAGAAGTTACTACTACAAAAAAGGCCCTGGGTTTTGAGAACAAACAAGGTAAAAAGAATAAGAAGCAAAAGGTGGGTGTGGCTGGATGAGCACACTTCTGGTAACATGCGGGTGTGGCCTAATATGCTAATGAGCGGTGCTATCAGGGGTGTGGCCTAATATGCTAATGAGTTCCTGCTGTTGGGTGTGGCCTATTATGCTAATGAGTTCCTGCTGGGCTTTTTCTACAAAAAAAGCCCTCGTTGTCTGTCAGCTGGAGATCAGTTGTAAAAGCAGATCTCCCAGCACCACCTGGAAGTTGGCAACCCTACCCTGATTGCTACAGAATTCTTCAAGGTGCCCAAAGAAAAGGAACTGTGATAAGTTATCCCTGCAAAACCTAATGAGAGTTTATGCTGTTCCCAGATCCATACCTATTTTATTATATGCCGATGATTCAGTTTTAACATCAGGATCTTCTATTGGGCTACAAAGGCTAATATGATCTTTCTCTAACTACTGTCAAGAACAAGGCCTAACGATCAACTTTGTAAAGATATTGGTCTTTACAAGAGAGAGAGAGAGAGAGAGGAGTCTTAAGCTATAAATGGATGTTAGATGGTAATGAATTAGAACATGTCCTTTAAATATCTGGGGATAACATCCAACACACATTGGAAACCCCAGTGCAAGGATGTAATGGCATCAGCAGCTTGCTCTAGTACAGCAATAAAGCATTTTGTCTCAATTACCATATGATGCAGCAGTCTGAGTCTATAAGGCAAATGAGACTATAGATGAGCCATTAGTACAGTTTCTGTGCCAAAACTTTGGCATCCCAAAATCTGTAGCTGCTGCTGCCCTTAGACTGGAACTTGGTCAGCATTCTGTCGAAGGTAGAGCCCGGTTATTGGCATTAAATCTGAAACTCAAAATAATGTTTTTGGAGGATAAGAGCTTATTATATTATATGAAATCAGATAATTTCTCCAATTCATGGAATGAGGCTATAGCAGAAAAATTGAATATTTCAGGGTGTCCAGAATGTAGTTTTTATTGGGTTAAATGCAAAAAAAAAATCAATTGCCTTGGAAGCACAGAAGATTTTTGCGGTATCTTCAATTCTCCACGTTTCCAGGTTAAGGGAAAAATGCTGTTCAAACACTTTACAAAGGTGATGAGACTCTAATGGTAACAAGAGGGGGGGGGGGAATTACTTACAAAAATAGAAGCTCATCTCCTATGACAAGTTCATGTAGGTACATTTAACTTATTGTGAACACATTAACTTCGAAAGAGGTTAACTTGCTACAGCTCCAAGTCCAGGTAAGAGACAATAACTGAGGTCCTGTATAAGATGAAGCAGGCAAACAAGCCACAGCCAAAGAAGCTCAATATCTAATCAATGAGAAGGGGAGGCCAGCAGCCAAGCGTTCCAGAGGGAGAGAATTTTCCCTCCCGGATCCTCTTGTAAGCACAGTTACAATGTCCAACAGCCTGTGGATGGATGAAGCCATGTCTTTCTGAGGTGATCTCTGGACAATTCAAGCCTTTCTGGCTCAAGATCTTCTGGCACATCCTGTCTGGATGTGTGTGGGGCGGATCCCAAGGCATCATATTCCCCCGAAGGCCAAGGAGGGGCGTGTGTGTGTGTATGTGTGTGAAGGGAACAAGACTATATCTAACAATTCTTTCACTATCAGACCATAGGTCAAAGCAAAATAAGCAATTCCATATGAGCCAGTTTGGTGTAGTGGTTAAGTGTGTGGACTCTAATCTGGGAGAACCGAGTTTGATTCCCCACTCCTCCGCTCGCAGCTGCTGGATGACCTTGGCCAAGCCATAGTTCTGTCAGAGCTGTCCTTGAAAAAGAGCAGTTTCTGTCAGAGCTCTCTCAGCCCCACCTACCTCACAGGGTGTCTGTTGTGGGGAGGGGAAAGGAAAGGAGTTTGTAAGCCGCTCTGAGACTCCAAGTGAAGGGCGGGGTACAAATCCAATCTCTGAGTAAGCAGCAAATCGAAACATAAAAATGGAAACCAATAATCAAATTGGGCAATTTCAAATCAAAATAATCAAGTAAAACAAAAAATAAGCAACAATTCCCACAACCCAAGAGGCACATTCAATCATAAAAAATACAAACGATTTTTGAATGGTAGGAGCACTACAGAGAGCGGCATTTCAACATTGATGGCACTACAGAGGGGGGGACAGGGGGGAGATTGGAAACTATAGAGGATAATGGCAGAATGGCTATACAGAAAACACTCTTCAACCAAAAGGATTAAACTCTGAATTGGACTTAACATGTTTATTGTGATTCATATATTTTAGACCAGTCTCCAGTAATTTCATAACCTAGTTGGCAACTTCAGTATTAGAAATTGAGGTGCCTGGAAGGGATGTATAGCTGCTGCTGACTTAAACCCATACAATAGACCCAGTAGGTTACTTCATTTATAATATCATCAGGAATTCTGTATCCAGGAGTTGGCAACTTTATAGCAACTAAGTTATTTGTCTAGTTGTAACCAGTTTAGATGCATATAGCAGGCTTATTAGGCTTGATATCTCCAGGAATTTCCTACCTGGAGATGGCAACTTTGATTACTTTGGTGCAAATGCAACAAGGGCTTCTACAACTTTAAAAGCCAGCAGGATACAACCAGCTCCGTTCAATGTAGATTCATAAAGCAGACCCAGTATGCTGGATACTCTGAGGCATGTTTGGTCCTGTTACATAGAAGCAGCCTTGAGAGGTGCTCACTAAAGCTTAGGTAGACCTGGCCCTAGGTTAAGTGAGTATATGATGTTGTTGTGGTCCATATATTGTGCTGTTTCTTAAAATATTCTTAATTAAATTCTAAGGAGGTATTCTAAGGAGCCTTCTAAGGAGCCTTCATGAGTTCAGGAACGCATGGACCCCCCGGAAAGCGGTTCCGAGGGGGTGAATACAGTTGTCCCGTCAGAGATGAGCCCAGGCGTCCCGAGAGCTCGGATAACAGGAGGGCGGGCGAGAGTGCAGGAGAGACGGGGGAACTGGAACTGGAACCTACCCGAACGAAGAGGGACCAATGAGGTCCTTCAGGCCAGTGTAGATGCGAATGGGGAGCTTCGGGATTTCCCGGAAGTGACCCCCACCCCCGAAGACGCCCAGGCCACCCCAACCGGGAGGTGGGACCGGAAAGAGTGACGTAGATATCACCCTATCAGATGAAGACAGCGGAAAGGGGGAGAATCCAC